ATCATACTACACAGCCGCTGAGAGCAATCTACAATCCTGACTGCATCCTCCCAACCCGACACCATCCCTCCCCAGAATCGTCACGCTAACCTTCTGGGGGCTCGGAAGAGGCCTTGGAGGGTAAGTTTGGCGGTGGAATCAAGCAAGAGAGAGGACAGAAAGAGGTTGGGAGAGGGGAGGTAGAGCACTGAGGCACCGAGGCACCYCCATTCTAAGGRCCCATAGATGCTCCCTCCCAGCTGCTCTAGCTAACATCCGCAGAGTTTACATACTGGGAGCTGCTGCCATGGCCCGATCTGTCCAGAGGGGTTCTGGGTTGCTGCACATCGGGAAGCTGTGAGGCGCCGTGGCTTTGCGGGCGTCCCCTCTTCCCCTTCTCCCTGGAGGTTGCTGGACGCCATTGGTGGTGAGGAGGAGGTCTGGCGATCGACCCCAGGCGCCCAGGCGCCGTTATCCTGGGCCATCTCCATCGGGCCTGCGCCGCGCCCCCCATCCCCAACCTCCATCCCCCTTGCCATCGGACTTCATCGCCGCTGGGGTGCCTGCTGAGCCTGCGGCCTTGCGGCCGCCATTGCTGCTTGCGCCACATGGATCGCCGCTTCCGGGTGCAACACGGCGGCGGCATTGTGGGCTTCGAGCCTAGCGTCTGCGCCAACAACTGCCGCTTTAGGCCTACTGCGTAGACCATAGCCCATCTCAAACCAGGGGTTAAGTGCTAGCAATAACCTCCCGTATGCCCATTGCTGCCTGGCCTGCTGAGAGGGCCTGATCAACGCCGGGCGGCAGGAGGGAGAACCCTGATAATTGGCTTATGTGGAATTGCTGACGGTGTGTTGTGATTTCCGCCATTGGTAACAATAGGGTAACAACAGTGCAATAGCAATAATTAACAACATATTGCGGTCATGGGCTCTAATTAAGACTTTACATCATGGACAGCCGAGCCTAAATGAAAAACCGGAAGCTCTGTCCGCTCATGACTCAGGGTTTTCCTTTTCTTCCTTATTTCCCTCCCATTGTAACCAGAGAGGATATCAAGATGCTGGAGAGTAAGAAACTGGAAGTCATTTGTAACATTCTCACTCAGGTAAGTTGGATCTGTTGGAATATATTTGGTACCAGGGGGAAGGATACTTTGAAAACATTGGACTTTGAATTAGCTTTCTGTTGAGGTTTGCTTGGCTACTCTTGCAATTTATTGAAGCAATGATCATAAGGTAACATAAGTGTGTTCTGAAGAATTGGATATGAAAGGGCTAGATTAAATTATCTGTTTAATAAATGGAAGTGGAAATACTAATTCAGTATTAGAGTGCTGTGAGTGTACAGTGATATGAACGAAGACTTTGAGGCTCTGGGTCTGGGTGGAAGACGGTGTGTTTTTCGGTTTCCCCGTTTTTAAACTCTTATATTGTTTCCACTCTGAATATGAAGATTTTTAAAGATTTGGGTACATTCATATTTAAAACAACCAGATTAATTGTTTACCCTTATTCCCAACACAGATACATTCCAAAATATAACGAAATGTGAGCACCAAAGCCTAAATACCATGAAGGAACCAGATCCATCTGAACTTGGAAGTGAAGCAAAGCTAACCCTCATTAATATTTGGACAAAAGACCAGCCATGAACACCAGGTATTTCGTGCTATGATTCAGTGGGAGGAACAGGCAAAACCACCTCAGAGTATTCCTTGTCTAAGAAAACCCTATGAATCAAGTTGACAGGTGCCTTGAAGGCATATATACATCCATGCAGCAGTAGCAGCAAAAGCCGGCAGATGATTCTGCAAAAACTGTCAATCCAGAAATCATTTTGGGATATCAGTTACAAGAGGATCTGTCAGTTGTATATTCTGTTATTGCAAGGCCATTTATATCCTGTGTTATGCCTTTCATGTTATGCAATCCAGGACATCGCTTTATAACATTGGAAATGTTCCGTGCTAATTGTCACTTTGACTTTGGGGAATGCCACTGACACGCATAAATGCAAGACATAGAGCAGACAATAGAAGAATATTGAAAAGACACTAACCAGGAATTCCTCATCTTCTTCCTTACTTCTTCCAAATTTCTTGAGCTTCTCCGCGATATCAAAGTTTGGATCACTACAAAAGAACAAAAGAAGATACTATAACAACACAGAAATCCTCCATCTGCTTCCTGATAAAACTGTCAACAGCCCTGTGGTTTTAACTGTGGAAAACCCAGAAAATTGGAGAAAAAGTTGATTGGATAGTATCATTTATTAGTAACCTGTTGATGTAAACATTCACATGACAAAGCACTTTGATCCAATTTGTGTAGCTTTCTCAAGACTGATAGGGTAGTTATATCTAGTGGTACTTTTGAGGTGACAATTGCTGAAGCTTAATGCAGTACAAATCCTGGGGAAATAACTGTTTTAAAAGTACCTTGTGTTTCTAAGGAATTGTGACCCAATGTACTACAAAGAACTGGATGGTTTCCCATTTGTTTTGAAAGAACACTGAGCCTAGTGGTATATTCTGAGTTTAGGAATTTTTTTTCCACTACACAATTGTAGTGCTATGATTTAATTTTCCCTGCCATGGATCCATCCAATGGAAATCTGAGCATTTTAGTTTGGTGAGGGACTACATCTCTTTGACAGAGAGCGCTAAGCATCGTACCCTCAACTGCAGATCCTGGGGTTCCACAGAATATTATCATGGCAGTAAAAGTAGGAATTTAGTGCTATCACTATCATTGTTAGGCTTGGTTGATCCAAAAAAAAATGGTTCAAAACCCGTTTCGGATATAGTGGTTCGAATCAGAATTGAATTCCGAATTTTTCCTTAAAAAATTTCGGAACTTTCCAAAATTTTTGAAATTTCTGAATCGCTTCGTTAAAGTTGATTTCCCACCTTTAGGAAGAATATTTTGACTATATGGGATTTGTAGTGTCTTTTCTGGCAACGCAAGGCAAACAAAGGAAACAAACAGCAGAGAGGCCTTGGTGGTTTTGGAAGTTGATTTCACACCTTATCTGCTTTGAACTGAGTTGTATGGCAGTGTGGAATCAGATAATCCAGTTCAAAGCAGATATTGTGGATTATATGGCTGTGTGGAAGGGCCCTGAAGGTCTTGCTGTGATGGGAAGAGGAAAGAGAGCAGAAAACAGCATCAGAGGAAGCCCTCCTTCCAGTCAAAAAGGAAAAGGGAGGAGGTGGACTGAGCGACATGAAGCCTGCTTGTACCTGTGCCTGAGCAAGGGCTGCGGTTCATTGACCTTTCAACAGTGGAAGGCCTGCATTTAAAATGGACCTAACGACTGTTCCTATAGAAAATGCACCTCTTCCAAGCAGGCAGCCACCAGCCCAGCTTCCCAGTTTTTCGAGCCAGTCCCTGGGGTCGTAGAGGTCTCCCCACCACCTCCYCTCTTGGGACGCTTRGGAGRCATMGCCAAAGSGAGAGGCACCTGACAAGCAGCCCCTYCACCCAAARCTCAAGCCGAGGCAWCGCCTTGCCAACCAAGGCCAGCCTGCCCTCCTCCCCATGTGCGGACTGACCCACCGGCTCCCGCGCTCTTTAGTGATATGTCTCCATGCCAACCATGGGGCAATTCTCTCCCTCTGCCTCTCTCTCTCACCCCCTCATGCGTGTCACCAGGTGAGTCTTATCTGCCAGCCGGGAAAGCACGGGCGAGGGCAATGTGCTGGCGTCTCCTTCCTTCCTTCTCTCCCTCTCACAGACTTTATTTTAGGTCTCACGGCCCACCTGTGGGCTGGGGCCCACGGGTTTTGTACCACTGGACTACACTGACCATATAATGCAATTCAAAGGGCATTGTAGATGTTAACACAGATATTAACATGCTGCCACTGGAAGGAAGCATGGTCCCAGCTGGAGAGGAGAACATGTGTGTGTGTGTGTATTTTCAGTGCTTCTTATTAAAATAGTCCTGCTGTTAAGAA